AAAGTGTATGATTTGTTGAATGCAAAACTGGTGATCTTCTCTGTAAACCTTCACTCAATTCACAACAAAAAGTTAAATTACCTAAAGGAAAAATTCAGAAGGGTTGGGAAAGGAGAAATGGAAACATGAATCATATGGAGGAAGTTGAATAAGTAATGTTAAATGGAGGGGATTGCAATCATTGAAATGCAATGAAGTGCATGATTTGTTGAGTGTAAAACTGATGATCTGCTTTTTAAACCTTTACTCAATTCATAATGAGAAGTTAAAAAAATTATACCCCAATAAAGTTTATTTAAGAAAAGTTATGGACAGTCCTTAAAAAAATCTAGTACACTACACTACACTACATAAAATTCTGCATACAACTTCAGGATGTTCACAGATGCTGATGGTACCCAGGTTAAGAACTCCTACATTAGCAATTTTCTTAGGAAACAAGTGTTAAGAAAGTTCTCCAAGGCCTGGAGAGATATTAAGAGGTAGTCATATGATATATGACATCCTTTTCTTTAATCTGCAGCTAAAGTTAGAAGTTGAGAATTGTAAGAGGAAGAATAATGCACTTGTTGTTACTAGAATAATAGAGGTGTCAGTGATGACCAGGAGTTGCTTGATTTCATCAACTAAGGAGAGAAAAAAGGAAGTAGCATAGTTTTGAGGGACTGAACTTGCTTCAGTAAGGAAATAAAAAGTTTGGATATTTTCAATGTGAGAAATAAAGTTAGGGGAATGCAGTTCTTGTAGGCAAGTCTATGATGATATTTCTATCAAGGACAAATTATCTATGGAAAAGTCTAGTGTGGCCACATAGCATTTCTACCCCACCAATATCGCCTTTGGAGTCCTGGTGTGGCACCATAGCATAAGCACTTGACCTCAAGGTTGGCTTGAATCACAAGGTCAGCGGTTCAAACTCACCAGTTGCTTCTCGGAAAGCCTACACAGGGTCACAATGAGTTGGAACTGACTCCAAGGCACTTAACAACAACAGCAATGCCTTTTCCAATACCAGGGCCTTAATGTGCAAAATGAACAACAGGAGAAGTTCTAGTGACTAAAGGATCTACTCAGGAAAGGGAACATAGAGATTAGCAAATTGAAGAAAATAAATCCAGGAAGGAAAATATGAGTTTTGAAGATTTCTTTTTTAGGAGTTATGGAAAATGAGAGAGAGAGAGAGAGAGAGAGACCATTTTTAAAAGAGATACCATAGAATATGAGCTAGTGATACTCTTTGAGATACTGGAAAATATTTTAAATGGTTTAATCATATTTGCTGCTGATCTGTACTTCTTCAAATACAATGCTACCTATAGACGAGGCCACTGAGAGCCCTTAGATATTTTCAGGTTACATTTATTTATTCATTCATTCAAAAATATTTACTATATTCTATTGCTATAATGGCAATGAGATATTATGTTGCAGCTGTTGTGCTAAGCAACAGAGATGCATAGATTAATAATAAACACAGTAATTGGTCACAAGCTACTCATATTTTAGGCAATGGGCAAATATGAAAATAGTGCTATTGCTATAGTATTAAATATGAGAACAAAGAGGATCGAGACTCAGTTTAGGGAGTCAGAATCGTCTGTTTTGGGATCTTTCTTCATCTGCAACTAAAGATCTCCTTACCTTCAAGCTGAGATGTCTGGATAAGCATTTTAGAACTTGAGTCATGCTGACTGTGGCCCGTTGCCGCTCATGGTCCTTGACTGACTGTAACCATGGGTCCATGAGCTGTGAAAAATGAAGGGAGCCTGAGTAATTTTTAAAGAAGATTTGGAATACACCAGTGGTACAATGAATCACTTTTTTATGGCCTTTATGGCCATGGTCTTGTAATTCCCACCAAATGACTGGTTGGGGCTATGCAAATGAGGTGCTTTTAACCCACTAAGGATTTGAATATCTTGTTAATAATGGAAGGAAGGTGCATGGCACAAGGAAGGTCCACACTTGTGGGGTGGGACCGTGCAAATAAGATGTGCAGAACCCTTTCAAGGGGGTTGGTCAGTTTTGCCATCCTGCAAGGTTTAAGATGAGACATCCCAGATGCAGACAGGGACCTTACCAACAAGATGACTGGAAGTGGAATACATCCTTTGGACCCTGGGGCCCTGTACTAAGACCCTCCTAGGCCCAGGAGACACAGAGAGAGAGAAAGCTGTAACACCTGAGACAGTACAAGGTGGTGAAAAGTGGTAGCAGAGAACTGGCAGCAGCAGAACCGGAGGCCTGGTTTCAGACAGTGCAGTGGGCTTCCTGACCCACAGAGCAAGGTGGTTACAGTGGGTGTGCTGAGCCATGGAGGGAGAGAGTTGAGCACTTTAGGCAGAAGGCTTCCTGGGGGAGAGGAGTACCTAAGGACACTTGTTTGTGGAGCTAGGCTTTCAAACCCACAGAGCTAGAGAGCTGAGCGTCTTCAGGCCAAGGCTGAAGGACTTGCTGGAGGATCTGCACACTTACTGGCAGAGTTAAAGAGCACTGTAAAACTTGCTCAAGCAGAGCAGAGGCCGGACTAAGGGGCCAAGGGGCTGGCTGAGGTGCAGAGGGTGAGAGAGAGGAATGCCTGTGGGCATAGTTGAGAAGAGGCTGTCCTGATGGAAGAACTGTATCCTGGTACTGAATGACAATCTGTTACCTCCCTGGTGTGGTGCCGTAGGATAAGTACCGGACTGCTAACCACATGGTGAGCAGTTCAAACCCACCAAACACTCCTCAGAAACCCTATACAGAGTCGACTATGAGTCAGAATTGACTTGATGGTATTTAATAACAATTTTCCTAATAAACCCCATAATCATCAGTATTGTCTGTTGAGTTCTGTGTAGCCATTGCAACAAATTATCAAACCCAGCTGAGAAACAGAGTGCAGTGGGAGGGGTGGCTGTATCACAATTGGTAAAAAGGTTGGTGAGTGGAGCTATGTCTGACCTCTGCTTGGTAGCAATCAGCTATGGTTGGTTGATGCTGATAATGATTCTCCTCCCCCTAATACATCTTTTTTTTTTTTTTTTTAAACATATTCTCTGGAAGAAAATATGGAGAAACAATTTCCACATGTCACTACTATAAGTGAAAATAATTTTCTCATTATATTGAACTGCTAACCCAAGGTCAGAAGTTCAAACCCACTAGTGGCTCCTCGGAAATCCTATTTAGAATCACTATGAGTTTGAACCAACTCGATAGCACTTAACAAAAACAATTATAAACCAGTTTGGGTTTGAATTGACAGTGGTAGAACGAGGAACCAAGGAACAAAGACCTACAGAGTTAGATGGTCATGCTTCTAGTGGAAACTTATTTTCTAGACTTATTTCTTCTTCAGCTCACTGTCTTCAATTACTTAATCTATTACTTGGTATGTTTTCAGCCTTCCAAAATCTACAGTAGAAAATATAATAATTGTTGTTATGTGCTGTCTATTCGGGTTTTGACTCATAGCGACCCTGTATAGTGTTTCCAAGGAGTGGCTGGTGAGGCTTGATCTGCCAAACTTGTGGCCGACCTTGAGGCCCAGTGCATTACCTGCAGCGCCACAGCAGGACTCCAACATAACATTAATAAAGTGTTATTCAAGGAACATTGAGGATGGAGGAATTACATCTGCCTGAAACAGGCAGGGAAGGATTCATGAGCAAGGTGATATCCATGAGTAGGAACTTCATAAAGAAAGTGGCATTTCAAGTAGAATAAATGGCTTGAATAAAGCTGCCGAGGCAGGAACGTACAAAGCACACTTATCCCACAGTGCCACACCAGGAGTCTCTATGCTAATGAGGGATAATAATTTAAGAAAGGAAAGAGAGCCAATCCAGCTGTACATGAATGGATAAATAGCGAAGAATGAGAACATTTAACTGAGTTATGGCAAGGATAAAGATTCACCTGCACTTAAAGTGCAAATAATTAATAATATTAAAAGGGTTATTCCTTTCTGGGATATTTGCATCTTAACAAAGGGCAAGAGGGCAAAATGCCTGAACCATAGTGAATAGTCCAATGAATGCATCCTTCATGATGAAACGGCATATCCAGAAACAGGTACAGGTGAACTACTGGGAGCAGGTGGTCATTGAATAGTTTTGATTCCCACTGGTAGGCAACTGTCTATTTACTCGCTTGTTATAAGGCTTATAAGGTGGTGGTGGTTGTATGATCGAGTCGTTCCAACTCATTGCAACCCTATATAGGGTTTCTGAGGCTGTAAATCTTTATAGGAGCAGAAAGCATCATCTTCCTCCTACAGAGACCTTGCAGTTATCAGCCCAGCTTATAATCCCCTACACTACAAGGGTTCCTTTCTATACTAGTTGTTGTTAAGTGTTGTTGAGTCAATTCAGACTCATAGAGACCCTGCACAGCTCTTCGAGGAGCAGCTGGTGGGTTAGAACAGCTGACCTTGTGTTTCTCAATCTAGTACTTATCCTGCAGTTCCACATCAGAAGTCCTTTATTCTAGTAAGGAATAATTTAAAGAATAATTTTAGCTACCATTAATTGAAGGTCATTTATTTTTTTAAAGTGTAACCATAAGTAACTCTGGTGATGTTGTAGGATAAGCACTGGACTACTAACTTCAAGGTCAGCAGTTCAAAACCTACCAGACACTGCAAGAGAAAGATAAGGCTTTCTGCTCCTGTGAAGATTTATAGCCTAAGAAACAACCCTATACTATGATTGGAATTGACTCAAAGTCAGTGATTTGGTTGGGCTTTGGTTTAGAATAATACTGTGAAATAGACATCATTATCTCCATTTAAGGGCAAGGAAACTAGACCCTGAGAGATTAAAGTTCTTGTAGTTGAATGCAGAAGACCTCATAGTCAGAGAGTGGCAGAGTCAGAATCTGAACCTAAAGCTCTGACCCAAAGCTGATAGCTGGCACTCTTAACTATTAGGCTGCTCCTAAAACTTTCCACATTTTCTTCTTCCACTTTCACTGATTAATAGAAATAGTGTCCCATCCTCTCCTGATGTCCTATGTACCTCAAAAATGGCATTCAGATTTTCCATATGTGGATCTTTAACCACCAAACTCTGGAGCATCTCAGAGAACGCCTGTAACGTCTGCCTGTAGAGACACTGAAAGGTACAAGATCAATAATGCCCCGACCTCAAGTCCCCAGGCACGGTCAACTTTTTAAAAGACTGGTGGACATTATGGCATGAGGTGAAACAAAATACATTTTCATTTTAAATGGGACACCCAAGTATTACTGGGGACAAAGTTAACCAATCTAACTACATTAGAGAAATTAGCAAGATACTTTTATAATTTGACTTGTGACTCTTTGACATCTAGAAACAAAGGGGGAACAAAGTCCCCTTTAGTAATTGTTTTACCATCCAGGGTACTAGCCACAAAAGAAAATCAGGGTCTTTACATTTCCTGTTGCCTAAAAGCATCTCCTCCAGATATCCCTACCCTCTCCTCCTTCAACAAGTCCCTCATCAGGAACACGTTCCCTGACCACCCCATGTGAAAAAAATTAATCCCTTGTGCTTGTGTATCCCAAAGACTTTCTTCGTTATCTTCCTCTTCCCCAGCTTTATTTTTTTCACAGCAGTTATAACTGCCTGATGTATTATATACTTACTAATTGGTGGTTTGGCTCTTTGCAATAGAATGCCAGCTCCATGACCAAGCATATAGTCACTGTTCTTGTTTACTGCTGGATACCTATTGCTGATCATAATGTTTAATGCATGGTGACCCTTAATAAGTAACTGTTGAGTACATAATGGAATTTGCCCACCTTAATTTGAACACAAAAGAAAGGAAGAAGGGATGAAGACAATAATAGGACAAATCAAAGGAAAAAATATACTGTCTAATTAAACTATCTATCTTATTTACCAGACTTGGCTTAAGTGACTTTGGCTGGTTGCAAAAAAATAAATATACTCTCTTAAAGGCCAAGGTTAGCCAACATTGTGGATGGCAAGTTACTAAAGCAAAGTGGGAGTTACCTCAGAGTTGTCAGCCCCACTTGGCACTATTTCTTGCAGCTGTGCAGAGGTCTTTACAGAAGGCAGAGTGATTAGGCTTCGGATGGTCAGACTGAACAAGTCAGCTCGCTCTTCAGAGCCAAACAGCAAATGGACATCTTGGTAACTAAGAAACAGACAGTTAGGGAACAGCAGGCTGGAAGAGAGCTTGATTTGATAGTGATAAGCAGGGGTCAAATAAAAAAAAAAAGGAATGGTAAACTGTTTGGTGTATCATTCTGCTGGAAGAGAGAAATAGCCTGGATTTTCAGTCTGTTAGCAGAAATCTCACAAAGGGTTAGAGACAGCACTTCAGGCTCATATTCCCCATGCCTACCCCAAACCATCATAAGAGATCTCTAGAGTGATATCCTTCCAGGTTTCGCTCCAGCTCAACTAGAGAAAAGCCTACTATAGTCTAAAATAGTTAACTATAGTTATTCTGTGTGTACTTAATTTGGAGAATGGTGGGATCCCAAATTTAAAACTTTTTAAATACAAGACTTTCCAGAACCTTTTAATCAGGTAATGTGCTATTTGAATTTCCAAGTGAGTTAAACAGTAGACAGCATTTTTCCACATTTATTTGATTGTGAAACTCTACTGTCATGAAGCATACTTGGGACTAACTTTCCACTGAATGTACTCTGGTCAAAACGAGACTCCAAAGTAGATCCAAAAAAGTTTTATTGACTCATCCCTGTGGTTCAGCTTTTAACCAAACAACAGACAGGTCTATAAGGTAAACAACAACACTAGGGCAGTTTACATGCTACAGAACAACTAGACAAACAACAGACAGGTCTATAAGGTAAACAACAACACTAGGGCAGTATACACGCTATAGAACAACTAGCCACACAAGACCAAAAGGGCAGCATTTGCCCAAGGATAAAGCTCAGAAAGCAGGAAGGGATAGAAAAGAAAAACCAAAGGAAATGAGAAACACATAGAGGAAGGCAGTGGGAAGGGTGCTGTTACATTGTGAAAATTGCAATCAATGTCAGGAAACAAAATGTGTATGAACTGTTGAATGGGAAATGTGTAAACTTTTCAAATTAGTGGACGAAGCAGATGCACTACATAGACCCTCCACAGCAAAGACGCAAGAGACCCAATAAAACAGACATAGATGAAATACCTGGAACCCTGAACTCCAGAGGAAAGGTTAGAAAAGTGGATTGGATGTATGCTGGGAAGAGAAGCTAAGCAGAGACAGCAAGAGAGGGAGACAGATGCAGTGTGACCATCTTGGGAGCAGCTTTGGCAACAGAAGGTGGACAGACATAGCAGATTCACACACATAACAGGAAAGGTGTGATTCCTTCTTTTCCCCCAAGCTCCCCTGGTGAGAGGAGGTGTGGCCAGTTCCCACTCTCATCCACCTCCAGTGCAGACCCTGCTCTCCAGGAGCCACATGGTTAGGAGCCATGCCAGCATGAGGTAGGGCCAGCTGTGCCACTTCAGTGAGCTGCTTTGGTGCCTGGATTCAGGTGATCTTAGTTCCAAATCGACAGAACCCATAAAGCCACCAGACCAGCATTTAACCAGTCACCCTGCCTCCAGCTGCCCTGTGGTCCTAACAGACACTGAAACCAGATCCATCAAGGGTCTCCACAAAACTACCTCCAGATTGAGTACCCTGAACATAGATAAAACCCTCCCACACCCACCTTTTGATCTCCTTGTCTTGCAGGAGCCCCCGGAAAATTTCTCCTCTCCAGGTCCAATAGCTACACTGGATTTTTCCTTTTCTTGTTTCATTTATTCTTTCGTCTCCTCCTCCTTCTCTCCATTCCCTTGAATTTTATCCTATCTATCTCTGTTTTTTCCTGTCTTTTCTTCTGTTTCTCATTTCCCCTCTTATTCACTCCCCCCGCCCCTGATCTTTCTTTACTACTCTCTAGTCCTTTCTTCCCTGTCCCTGGTTTTTCTAAGTAGAGCTTTCCGCCCCCCCTTTTATTTCCTCTTATTTTTTCTTCTATAGCTCCAGTTTTCTGTCCCTCTTCTCTTTTTTAGTTTTCTTTAATGTCTTCCTTTTCTCTCTTATTTTTCTGTTCTATTGTTCCATTTTCCTGTCTCTCTTTTTATAGTTATTCTTAAGTGTTTTTTTATTTCATCGTTTTATTTTTCTCTTCTAGAGCTCCATTTCCCTGTCCCTCTTTTGTTGTTATAGTCATTATTATAATTATTATTTTTGCTGGTTGCTGCCTACTTTTATTTCCTTTATATTATTTTTTTCTTTTCATTGTTGGTTCCTTGTTTGTTTATTTTTATCTTGTATGTGTGTTGTGGGTGGGAGAGTGTTCTACTGCCCATTCAAAGGAGACAGCAATTGCACCCATACAGCCCAGTCGCAACCGTACCCTCTGCAGCTACACCCACTGAGCAGAAGCCAGTACTAGCTCCTATACCACCTGGTCAATGACAGACAGCAGCCAACACCAGCCAAATCCACCCTAAACTGAGGTGCACTAACAGAAAATGAGAATGGTATACACGCTTCCATTCCCTAACAACACTCACAGAAGGGCAGTTGGTGAGAGTCTGAGGACAGATCAACATACAATCATCAATTAAACACAAATACAAAAATACCACACTGTCCCAGAGACAACAGACAATTTTAGCTCACATGAAGAAAGAAGAGAAAATGGCTCAAACAAATGACCAACATGCAGAACCAGAAATCATTTCTGAGGAACAAAAGGTAATGGAACTAACTAAAAAAGGATTCAAAAGAATGATATTTAGGTACCTTCAAAGGATTGATAGAAAGATTGAAGAAAGCAAAGAGATCACAGAAAAATTTTTAGAAGAATTTAGAAAAACAATACAAGAACAAACTGATAAATGCTTATTTTGAAAAAAATACAGAACCTGCAATTAGAAATCCAGACGATCAAGACTAAGATCTCAAAAATGGATGAAACATTTGAAAGGACAAAGGAATGGATTTGAAGCAATGAGAGTCTGAATTAGTGATCTTAAAGATAAATCTCACAATACTAGCATGCTAGAAGAACAATTAGAAAAACAACGGAAAAAAAAAATCTGAAAAACCTTTAAGAGTTATGTGGGACACCATGAAAAGGAACAATTGACTGGAATTTCAAAACAGGAAGACAATAAGAAACACAAAGAAAATAGTTGAAAAGTTGCTGGAAGAAAACTTCCCTAACATCATAAAAGATGAGAAGATAACCATTCAAAAAGCTGAACTTTACAAAACCAAAGACAAGGAAAGAATCCTGAGAGTAGTTCACAAAACTGAAAAGTTACCTAGAAAAGAGAACCAATAAGACTAAGATCTGATTTTTCAGCAGAAACTATGCAGGCAAGAAGGCACTGATATGACATAATCAAAACTCTAAAAGAAAAAATTGCCAACCAAGAATCTTACACCCAGCCAAACTGTCCCTCAAATATGATGGTGAAATTAGTTTCCTGATAACAAAAATTAAACAAGACCAACTTTATAAAAAATGCTAACGGGTGTTCTTCGGATTGAGAAACTATAAAAGTAGACAATTTGAGATCACCATACATGACAACACCACCCAGAACTCAATCCAGATATAGAAGTATTAAAAGTAAAACAAGCCTACAACCTGAAAACAGGGAACCAGAGATATCAATTTATAATGAAGTCAACTATAAAGCTAAACAAAGCTAAAAGAAGGAATAGGGATACAGAACTTCCAAAATGCAAGGAAGACAAGTAGATTTCAAGATTAAAAAAACAGTTTTAGATAGGAAAAAAATGTTAATAAATTACAGGCTAACCTCAAAGAAAATGAATACACCTGCACATGAAAATTTTAAAAAGACGAAAATCAGAAATATTTATTACACATTAACACAAAAAAAGAAATGTAAATGCAAGGAAAACCCACAAACAAAATAGTGCAGAAAACTATGTGGAACAAAGAAACCAGC